CCGGCGGTGTGCAGGGCTCCGGTCTCCCCACAGCCTTGCTGCGCTTGTTGGGTTTCTCCGGGTGTGAGTGTCGTGCCCCTTGCTCACCTTCCTCCCTGGGCAGAGGGGGAGAGTGGGTATGACTGGGCTGTCTCACACCCAGTTGTCACCACTTCGCCCAAGACACAGGGCTGTGGCGGGCGGCGGGGGGCAGTGAAGACAGTTCTCAGGTGGGAGGCCCCACGCCTGTGTCTGCACTCACTGTTCTTCACCCAGACGGCTCTTTTCCCATCAAACGAGCGCCCCAGCCTCGCTGTGCGAGTCCTGAGCTCAGAGGCAGTTTCTGGCCCTGACACAGGCCCGTCTCTTTCATGACAATCACACGCCTGGGAGGCAGAGCCAGAATCCAAAACACAAGGGGAGACGCAGGCAAGACCCCAGTGGGTGGCCAGAGGGGCCGCTCCAGCTTCAGCCTGCAAGAGCCGCTCTGGTCCGGCCCCTCCCCGACTTCCTACGGCTCCCCCGCCCCACAGACTGTCTCGCCCGTGTAGTCTCAGTCAGGGCCTCAGTGTCCCTCAGTCCCACACCCCCTGCTCCAGGCCTCACGCAGCCTTGGGACCTTCACCTCTGGACACCAGGTCCGTGGTGTCTGTGGCTCTGTGCCCATCTGGTGAGGAGGATGTCCCCCACTCCCCTGCCTCCTGCCACAAGTGACCTCCTGGGAAGAGAGTCTTCCTGGCAGGTCAGAAGTAGGAGCAACGGCACCAGGAGACGCATGAATCAGGGGGAGCTGCTGGTCAGCTCCTCATGGCCTGGACCATGCAGGGCTCCCCTGGGACCTGTGGGACAGCCCCCTGACTCAGTACTGCGTCGCCCTCCCCGGAGCCACCAACTATGCTCTCATTCCCATTCCTGGCTTCCCAGAACTTCACAAAAGAATTACGAAATCAGCCCTTCATTTCTCTACGTAGCACCTCTAGATTTATTATTGTTGAGCTAATTTTTATCTCGATAATCTATTTTTATGTGTTAATTTTTGAATTATGAGACAACATGCTTCATAGAAAAATTCTCATGGGCTTCCTCTCACATGTTCAAAGTTGGAGAAGGCTCTCTCACCTGGCATATTTTGCAGGCTCCAATCTCAGTGTGGCTCTAAGATAAGCTTTCTAAGTACATGTCATGCGTCTTGTCGGTCCTATCAAGACGTTCACTCTGAGAGTTTAAAATGACCTGGAGAAAGAGTAGGTTGAAATTGCTTTAGGGAAATCAGATTAAATGACAAGTTAACCCACTGACAAAATGGCTAGTGAGTATTTACTAATTTACTAAGTGCCCCGTTGATTTGTATGTGTTTTTTTTTTTTTACTATTTATTTATTTATTATACTTTAAGTTCTAGGGTACATGTGCACAACGTGCAGGTGTTTTTTAAGTGTTAAGGATCTGCCGTTGCATCCCACGGGATAAATACAAGCAAGGTTCCAAGCCAACAGGCATCCAAACATCACATCAGGCACTGCGACTATGTACGATTCTTTTTTTTTTTTTTTTGAGATGGAGTCTTGCTCTGTCATCCAGGCTGGAGTGCAGTGGCGCAATCTCGGCTCACTGCAACCTCTGCCTCCCGGATTCAAACTATTCTCCTGCGCAGCCTCCTGAGTAGCTGGGACTACAGTCGCCTGCCACCATACCCAGCTAATTTTTGTATTTTTAGTAGAAACGAGGGTCTCACCATGTTGGGCAGGCTGGTCTCAAACTCCTGACCTCAAATGATCTACCCACCTCGGCCTCCCAAAGTGCTGGGATTACAGGCGTGAGCCACCGCACCTGGCCTATGTACTGTTGTTGCTTGTCAATTATACCTTTATAAAGCTGGGAGAGAAAAGAAAGTTGATGAGCTTTCACAGAAGACATAAAAATAGCCCCTAAAGGCCCAGTGTGGTAACTCGTGCCTGTAAATCCCAGCACTTTGAGAGGCTGAGGTGGGAGGATTGCTAGAGTCCAGGAATTCAAGACCAGCCTGGGCAATATAGTAACATCCCATACCTACAAAAATATCAACAGGTATGATGGTACACACGTGTAGTCCCAGCTACTCAGGAGGCTGAATTGGGAGGATCGCTTGAGCCCAGGAGGTAGGGGTGCCGTGAGCTGTGATTGCGTTGCTGCACTCCAGCCTAGGCTACAGAGAGAGACCCCGTCCCAAAAAGAAAAAGCTCCTAAAATCTGAAAAATGCTCAACTCCACTTCTAATCAAAGAAATGCAAACATGAATATCTGAAAGACAGCCTTGTAAAATCTTTTTGGCTTATCATGTTGGCAAAAATAAAGAACTTTTAAACTCATAGTGTTTGAGAGTAGGCAGTGGGTATCCTTACACGGGACTGATGGAAGTATGAATTGACTTGCAGCAAAATTTTGCAACATGTTTCCAAAAATCTTAAATGTGCTTAACTTTTGACCTGGATAAACTGCTTCTAGGAATTTTTCCTGGCTACCCGAGGTGTGACGTGCACATGGCCTGGAAGCTGTGTCACCCACGGCATGAGGGGCCCGGAGGAGGGAGGCATGGCGGGTGGGCAGCAGATGGCTCAGGGCACGCAGGGGGATGGTGCAGGGCATCCAGGGGCCTGTCCCTCTGCTTCCTTCCCTAACCTGAGGTGCCTCTAAAACAGGCACCACCCTGACCAGCCAAAGAGGGCTTGCAGGGAGGAGAGTGCCCTGAACCCATTCTCAGATGGTGTTTGTGCCTCTCCCAAAGTCCTGCAAAGCCTGAGGGTCTCACTCTGCTGTTTCCGGGCCCTGCAGTGCAGGGATGGAGGCTGAGCCTGGCAGCTGCCTCACTAACTCCAATCCTGCCTGCCTAGTGCCAGGCCCGACCCCCACCCCATGCTGCCTGGTACTGCCCTCTGTCAGCCGAGACCCTCATGGGAAGCCAGCAGGTGCAGTCAGTCCCCTGGGACACACTCGCCTCAAAGCGCAGGGCCGGGCCCCAGCTACAGGCAGAGCCCCTACACAGCAAGACCCCTTTGGGCCTGAGGCTTGTATGTTGAGAGGCTGGCCAGAGGCGCTCCCTGGAGCCATTTGCTCTTCCTACCCGTCCCACATGGCTCTTGCAAGAATTCTCTGGAAGCTGCTCGAAAGTGAGGCAGAAACCAGGCACACCCACACCAAGGGCTCTGGGCCAGCAGGTAGGGCTGCCTGTGTGTTGACATCCCCAGCTGCCCTTTCAAGTATATTTCTGTTAAAGAAAAGTATCTCGGGCCCCTTCAAGCTGGGAACTGCTCGGGGCCAATCTGCCTTCCGTTCTATTCAAAGTCCTCCCTCTGCTCACTGAGACAGATGCATATTCTGATGGCCTCCTTTGGAAAGACTTATCAGAAACTGAAAATAATGCAACCATTTGTCTCCCACCTACCTGTGACCTCCCCACAGGTAGGTGAGAGACAGATAGTTGGGAGGCCCCCTCCCTGCTTCGAGTTGTCCCCACCTTTCTGGACGGAACCAATGTACGTCTCACATATATTGACTGATGTCTCTTGTCTCCCTAAAATGCATGAAACCAGGCTGTGGCCGACCACCCTGGGCATGTCATCAGGACTTCCTGAGGCTGTGTCACGGATGCGTGGCCTCAACTTCAGCAAATAAAACTCCTAAAATGATTGAGACTTGTCTCGTCATTTTTTAACAACTGGAAAACAGGAAGCCACGACTACAGGAAGCCGTTAACGCGTGGAGAATGTAAAGCAATAGCTTGAAAACACATTAAAAAATGAGACACTGAGTCAGGAAAGAATCCAGAAAAGCCATCTCTAAAGTGATGCCCCCTTGGCAGTGGGTGGTGTGGGTTGGAGGGGTTCCTGGGCTACCCATTCTGCCCCCACCCTCCCAGTGGCTGGAATAAATATGCACTGCTCCCTGCATCTCCGGCCAGCCCCCTGAATGGAAATGGTGGGGCAGCGCTGAGGGTCTTCAGACCCTCCCTCGGGTGCCTGTGTGCTGGACGCTGCCCTCCCGGCTGCTGCTCTGCTAAGATCTGTGTGGCCCTGTCGTCTGGCTGCTGCGCCCAGCTCCAAGGTCCAGCAAGAGATGCAGAGCTCTCTGGCCATGCCCAAAACAGAGGGGGTCAGTAGGTGAGGAAGCAGTGAGTGGAACCAGAAGGGCCAAGGAAGGTAGACCCCCAGCCAGGCAGGGGGGCCGAGTAGGCTGGGGACACGCCAGAGCCACCTGCGACCAGTCCAGTTCCTTCTGAGCCCCAGGGGTGTGGGGGGCCCCACCAGGCTCACACCGGGCCTGGCTTCCCTCCTCAGCTGCCAAGCCCCGCTTCAGGGGCCCTAGAAGCCCGCATACTTTTGCTCGCTGGTGTCTACTCCGATTCTGCAGCCGCCCCCTCCCCACCTTTCAAATTCTGAATAACACCAGACAGGGACCTCTCCTGTCAAATGAGCTGGAGTGAGCACACGGAGCTGCTGCCTGAGGCCCCTGGACCCCATCAGAATGACTGAGCCGCCCAGGAAGGGGCTCCCGGGGAGTCTGCCTTTAACTGGACCAAGGGTTCTGGAAATCCTCCCAGACCTGGGAGGATGAGCTCTTGCTGGTCCAGGGCTGTGCCGCCCGGTCACCCCGATGCCAGCCAGCAACCCTGGGGCAGAGGGCTGCAAGCACTTCTGCAAAATCGAAGGAAGTGGTAGCTGAAGTGAAAATGCACATTCCCCTCCTGGCCCAGCTCCAGGCAGAGGCTGTCACAAAGAGGCCCCTCTGGGCTCCAGGCCTGTATGTTGAGAGCAGAGACTAGCCAGGGGCAGGAGCCGGAGCCACCTTCCCATCCAACTGGTCCCGTGTGGCCCATGTGGCTCGAGCTGCTGATGTCCAGATCCCGCCACGTGCCTGACCTTTGGGCACCGACAGCCTGGCGAGGATGCCT